AATTTTAGGTTATGTTCGGTAATAGTCATGTTACTTACGATAGTTTCAATTATTTCATTGAGTAATACAAAAGATCGGTTAAAAACAATCGGTTAATGATTAATCTAAGTGATTTAAAAAAAAAAAGAATTTTAGGTTATGGTCGGTAATACTGACGATCGTTTCAATTATTTGATTGAATAATACAAAAGATCTGAAGCTTGCGTGATATATAAAATATTTAAATTAATATTCATTTATTATATAAATTTTTATAATTAATTAACAATCGTTTAAGATGATTGACGATTATCTAAATGATATTTTATTTAAAATAATAGAATAAATTTATAGAAAATCCGTTATCAAAGAGATATTTCAATTAATATAAATTATTCAAAAAAGAATTTTATATAGTTTATGATCGGTAATAGTCATGTTACTTACGATCGTTTCAATTATTTCATTAATTAATTAAACAAATCTATAATCTACTTTTTAAAAATATTGAAATAAGTATTACAATTTGTTTTAATTATAAAATTGTAGATAATAATCTATTAATACAGACTGATGATCTCATCTAAATTATTCAATTGAAATAATATAAGAAAACTTGGAATATGTTAATATGTAAAAAATATATTCAAATTAATATTCAAATGAATAGAAATAGTTTTAAATTACGATAAGTTAATACAAACTTAATGATCATTCGAATGATATAATTAAATAATAAACAACAAGAACATTTTCTTTCCTCGGTAACATAATATTATAATAATATCATTTAATTTTTTAATTAACAAGAGAATCATTTGAAACGAAAAGAAAAAAACAAAAAGATAATCAATTATTTAATTAATTAGAGAGAGAATAATAATAATCTGTCTGTAATGTAGATGAGAAAGTTGACCTGCAATAATTGACCTGCTGGAAGCTAAAATGAGATATTCAAAAGAGAAATAGAGAAATAGAAAGAGAGATTTGATTCTGGAAGACATTGCTGGCCCTTCCGGGGAACGTGGTCGTTTCTAAATTTGTCGATTTGGTTTCTCTGTGAGGTTGGTCTCTCTCTCTCTCTATCTCTCTCTCACTCTTGTTTGGTCTCTTTTTGCTACCCTATCCCTACTACCATTCCCATCATCGAAGAGGAGAACCGTTCTAAATATTTTTATACGAAGATACACTGCTGGAGTAGTGGTGGGGGGAGGAGGTACGGGTGGAACGTGAATCAAGCCAATTGGATACGAGGAGGATTTTGGGTAGAAAAGTTGAGCATCGGGTAAACGAGAATCCAGTTGGAAACGCGAACTCGTTCCGACCTTTTCGAAATAGAAGAAATTTAATATCTTCAAGAGATATATAAAACGAAAACGAACGCGTACGCACACACACACACACATATACGACATATACGTGTGCATCTACATACGTATATTTAATAAAAAAATATTTGTCCTTTTCTCTTTCAACGATATTTTACGCGATCGATTAATAATATTTCCTTTCGTTAATATTTTTATTCGAATTGTTCCACCCCCAACCCCCAAACCCCCCATTCCGTGTGTTGAATTAATCAAAATGGGCGACACTGTGCTAATGGAAAATACGAAAACGTTGATTAACGGCGAACGATTAGACGGTGAATTGCAATTACAGGCGCTCGAGGAAAAAGCGAAAAAAGCACAAGAAGCATTCGAAAGGGAAGAAAAACTTCGCAAGGAACTCGAGGAACAAAATACCAAAATACTCGCGGAAAGGAACCAATTGCAAAAGCAATTGGACGGGGAGAAGGGCTCGCTTTCGGAATATATGGAAAAATCATTGAAATTGGCTGCACAGAAAGCTGACATCGAATCTCAACTTCAAGTAAGTTTTCTTTTTTTTTTTTCTTTCTTATTAATATATATATTTTAATTATTCATTCGAAAATTACCGATCTTTCTGAATTATGAATTTGAACAAACGATTGTGATCGATTAATTTAGAAATTTATTCAAGTGTTTTCCGATTAGCTGTTGGAATTTAACGAGTAGAATAACTCAATCATTAATCGGACACATTTTTTTTTTAACATTAAACATACAAAAAAAGTATTAATTTAAAATGAAAATTATAAATGGCGGGTGCGTTGATAAATTTGGTAATTTTTGTAGAAACCTTCCTGGATAATCTATTGGAATATAAACTAGTAGAATAGCCAAGGCATTAATCAGACAAATTTATTTATATATATATATATTACAAACAAATATTCATTTAAATGATAATTCAGTTAACGAGTAGTAGAAGTCGATCGTTAATCTGGCAGATATTTTTTTTATATTAATAAACAAAAAGCAAAAATGTATGTTTAAATAAAAATGCAGCAGCTGTTAGTCCGTTAGATTAATTTAGAAATTTAGTTGAAAATATAACTGTTTAGAAAATGTAGAAATGAAATAGTAGAAGAGCCAAGGTATTAGTCAGATTAGTTTAATAAAGATCTCTGGAATATCACATTTAAATGTATAAAACTTCAAAACTGGGGAAGATGAAAAATTTGACACGCAAGTGAGAAGCCAAAGTGAGATGATTTGGATGATCAAATAAGTGGTAGTGGTGGTGGTGTTGGTGGTAGTGGTAATAATAAGTAGAGTAGGTATGGCATTAGTCAGACACATCCTCCGCTTTTTCAGTTACCACAGATAGCACCAGAGCCATTTTTTTCTTTTAACGATCCGAGTCATCCGATTACATCGACTCATATTCGGTCGCATTTATATCAGCATTCTAAAATTATTCTCTAACGATTTATAATTCGGACACGTGTCTGCCTTTATCGTATTATTAATCTCCATTTCTTTTTTTAAATAAGAAAACAAAGAAAACGAATAATAGGAAAAGAAAAATATTAGGGGTGGGGGGGGGGAATGGAAAAAAGTATAAAAGGGAGATGGGGACAAAAAAAAATTGTGCAATAATTTGTTTGGAGAAAAATAAATGACTTCCTTCCAGGAACACGGTTAGCTTCTAAAATGAATGCAATGAGAGAGAGAGAGAGAGAGAGAAAAACTAAAAGACAATTTTATGATCGCGCAGCCCACTCCAGCAACAGCATTCCACACTAAATCTATTTTTACCAAAGACATTTCGATTTTTCTCTCGAAACTCGCTTTGGAAATCCTCGTCCCCTCTTTTTCATACTTTTCTCATTCAATATTCTTTCATTTCAAATCTCTACCTTTATCGAACGATCTTAAGAATCTCGTTTTTGATTATTATTATTAAATCATATTAAAGATTGTGTTACATAACCTCAATATTAAGTAAAATTAAACGAATTCGATTTAATTATTA